GTAGCAAGATATGTACTTGGATGTCCACGGTGCCAGCTAATGAAAGGCGACCGGTGCATACGACCACCACTTCAGTCGATTCCAGTTACGGCGATAGGTGACTTGTGGTCCGTAGATGTTATGGGTCCATTTCCTCAGACATCCAATGGTAATCAGTACCTCTTGGTGATGACGGAACACGCGACACGATGGGTAGACGCCGTAGCAATCCCAGACCAACGCGCAAGGACCGTGACAGATGCAGTAGTTAGACACATCGTTGCAGACCATGGCGTACCAAAGACAATACTGACAGACCAAGGTCCGTGTTTCGAAAGTGAAGAATTTACTTCCCGTTTGCAACAGCTTGGCATCAAGAGGATCCGAACGACCCCATACCATCCACAAACGAATGGCCTGACGGAGAGAAACAACCGTACGCTGAAGGAGTGGCTGGCCTCGAAGGGCGGTAACTGGGAAACGGAGCTGCCACTGATTCTACTAACACATCGTGCCACCACCCAGGAAACAACGAAAAAGTCACCCTTTCAACTGATGTATGGTAGAAAACCACGATTACCGATACACAACGAAACCTGGCCCCTTCACCAAAAGTGGAGTACGACGAAATTAAAAGCAGAACGGAAAGAAGCCGTCAAGAATGTAATGCAGAAGCAGCGGAGGGATGTCGCGAAGTCTCAGCTGAGAGAAAAGACTCAGTGCATTACCTTCTCAGTCGGGGACCAAGTGAAGTGTAGAGACAGAAGATATGCTGTCGGATGCGGGCCAGGTTCACGCAAACTCCTTCCAAAGTGGGAAGGACCATACACAGTCACAAAAAGACGGGGTCAAGTATATACCATCAGAAGAGGTGACAAACAAAAACGAGTTAACGCCAGTCAGATCCAACGATGGGTGCATTGGGACAAGCCGGTCTGTAACAATCATCAACTAGAGGATGCATCACCCAGAAGGTCGGAACGCCTGCGCGCGAAGCTATTTGACGGGGGGACGAGTGTGGTGAGAGCTGTCTACTAGCCAAATTGGTAGACAGTAATTTACGTCAATGTTTACGTTCCCAAGATTTGTCGTGAGAAAATGTGAACAAAGATTGATTCAAAACCGACCACAGCAGACTTTGCGTAGGCGGATGCAGTTAACATATAGATGATTTGACATTCAAGAAACAGTCACAAAGAGATGAAAGATTAATTTTAAGTGAGAAACAACCAATCGGAAGACTGTGTTTGTTCGCTTAACTATCCATAATAATGTACATGAAAATATATAAATATGCGTTGATTTCCTTAATAAATGATCTGTTGCCTGACTCTTGCCTTCTGTCGTTACAGTAGTAGTAGTAGTCATGTAGCCTTCACAGGAAAGTTTGGCCTATTACCAGCTGCATGTAGATGCAAGCAGTGTTTGAGTAGCTTGCTTTTTTCTTGAGTATGGTGTACTATAATTTTACTCATGATATACAGATTATACTTTATCATACGATCTTATTTCTTTTTTTAATATTTCCCGTAATGCCACACCGAAATACTAGTCAGCCTAAGCATTGACTCAAATGAAACAATTTTTATCATTGTAGTTACTATAGATTAATTATAATGGTCAACCTCGCCTAGATTACTAGGTCACTAGTATTCTAGCCGGTCCCAAGCCCGGATAAAGAGGGAGGGTTGGGGCGTGGTGCTAGCAACTCCACCCCCAAAACTTAACCAAATTGCTACTAAAACTTCAACGCACAAATATATTCAAAATTCTAAAATTACAAATAGTGACCTTATTTTTCGCTGGAATCGGGGAAGTGAAATGACGCGGGCTGGTGAAAGCCTTCGGGAAGCCAGTCAGCCGATGTGCCTTCTTTCGATGAAAGCGAAAATAAGGATGGGGACGTGGAATGTTCGTACAATGTACGAAGCTGGGAAGGCTGCTCAGGTAGCCGCAGAAATGAGGAGGTATAAAATAGAAGTGTTGGGAATCTGCGAGAGCAGATGGAACGGATGTGGAAGGAGCCAACTATCAACTGGAGAGACAATAATCTACTCTGGTCACCCAGAGGACAATCACGAGCACACCGAGGGAGTAGCCATCATGATGTCACCAACAGCGGCTAAAGCTCTCATGCAGTGGGAACCAATCTCCTCCAGGATAATGACAGCCAGGTTCAACTCAAAAGGAAAAAAGGTTACAATCATTCAGTGCTACGCGCCTACAAACGCCTCAGAACATGAGAAGAAGGAGGATTTCTACAGTCAACTACAAACAGTAATGGACAACGTCCCAAAGAGCGATATCAAAATCCTGATGGGCGACATGAATGCGAAACTGGGAGGAGACAATACAGGAAGAGAACTCACCATGGGTCGTGAGGCCCTCGGTGAAATGAACGAAAATGGTGAACTCTTCTCAGACTTCTGCGCCTTCAATGATTTGGTGATTGGTGGCAGTGTGTTCAAACACAGGGATATACACAAGGCAACATGGATTTCACCAGATGGACACACCAAAAACCAGATAGACTTCATTTCAATCTCAAGGAAGTGGAGACGGAGCCTACTGGACACAAGATCGAGGAGAGGAGCAGATTTGGGTTCAGACCACTATCTGGTACAAGGGACTTTCAAGGTGAAGCTGAAAGCCTCGAGGATAGCTGGGGATAGGCCACAATGCAAGTTCAACACTCACAAACTGAAGGACACAATCACACAGGACATTTTCACTGCAACTGTGAGAGCAAAGCAGGAAACACTACGTGGCACCACTGAGGAATCATCCGTGGAAGACCATTGGAACTCTCTGAAGGTAATTTTCAACGAAACGTGCTCAACGGTTTTAGGAAGAAAGAAGAAACAAGACAAGGAATGGCTCTCAACAGACACTTGGAAACTAATAGAGGAGAGGAGAAAAGTGAAAGAGAAAATGATTCAATGCAAAGATGGACAAGAGAAAGAGACGCTGAACTCAACTTACACAGCACTGGACAAAGAAGTGAAGAAGAGTGCCAGGAAGGACAAAAGACAATTCTACGACAACCTGGCTACTGAAGCTGAGAAGGCAGCAGGCAAAAGGGACCTGAGGACACTATATCAGATAACCAAGTCTCTATCCGGGAAGAGATCAACACAAGTGAAACCTATAAAAGACAGCCAAGGGAACCCAATTACCAAAGAAGAAAGACAGATTAAACAATGGGCGGACCACTTCAAAGGACTCTTGAACCGACCACCACCTGCAACCCGTCCAGTAATACCAACAACAGCACGTACACAACTGCAAGTTGACACCAATCCTCCAACGAAAACTGAAGTCATGAATGCAATCAAGCTTCTGAAAGCTGGGAAAGCAGCTGGACCAGATGGAATACCCCCGGAAGCACTGAAAGCGGACCCAGAAACGACGGCAGATATGCTGACTCCATTATTGCAAAAGATCTGGAAAGAGGGAAAGGTGCCTACTGACTGGAGGAAAGGTTACCTGGTGAAACTACCAAAGAAGGGCGACCTGGGACTCTGCAAGAACTGGCGAGGAATCATGCTCCTGTCAACGCCAAGTAAAATCCTGAGTCGCATCATCCTGGAGAGAATCAAGGACGCACTGGATACAGAACTCCGACCAGAACAAGCTGGATTCAGGAAAGGCAAATCATGTTCTGACCAAATTGCAACTCTACGCATTATCATTGAACAAAGCATGGAATGGCAATCAAATCTCTACCTCAACTTCATAGACTTTGAGAAGGCCTTCGACAGCGTTGACCGCGAAGTAATTTGGAAACTTCTCGAGTACTACGGCGTACCGCAAATATTCATCAACCTTATTCAACAACTGTACGACAACGGCACATGTCAAGTGATCCACAACGGAAAACTCAGCGAAGCGTTTGGAGTAAACACAGGAGTCAGACAAGGGTGCTTATTATCACCAATGATATTCCTAATTGTGGTGGACTGGATTATGCGTCAGACAGTGGGAAACGAGAAGACAGGGATATCCTGGACCGACGTGAAGAACCTAGAAGACCTGGATTTTGCGGATGATTTATGTTTGATGTCACACAAAATCGAAGACTTACAAGCGAAAACCGACAAACTGGTCGAAGAAGCAGCAAAGACAGGACTCCAGGTGAACATAGACAAGACAGAGGTTATGAAAATAACCAACAAACAACAGCAGCAGCAACATCCAGCGCCAATCACCATCAACGGGAGGGATTTGAAAGAGGTTACTTCTTTCACTTATCTGGGGAGCATTGTCTCAACCACAGGAGGAACGGACGAGGATGTCAAATCGAGAATCGGGAAGGCGAGAAACACATTCATCAACCTGAAACCAATCTGGAAATCTTCGTCACTCAGCATCAACAACAAAATGATTCGGATTTTCAATACAAACGTCAAGTCAATTTTGCTTTACGGATCAGAAACTTGGCGGGTCACCAAGAATATTTTCAACAGGTTGCAGACCTTTATCAACAACTGTCTTCGCTCCATACTGAAGATTAGATGGCCAGAAAGAATCACAAACAAGAAGCTATGGGAACAAACGAAACAGGAACCAATCGCCCAACAAATATGCAGGAGAAAGTGGAGATGGATTGGACACTCGCTGAGGAGGCCGCTGAGTGACATCGCGCGTCAAGCCCTCGAGTGGAACCCGAAAGGGAAGCGGCGAGTGGGACGTCCAAGGGTGACATGGAGGAGATCGTGTGAGGAGGAGATGAAACAGTATGGAATAACATGGACGCAAGTGAAAAGAACAGCAGAAGACAGAAGCAAGTGGAGACGTGCAGTTGAAGCCCTATGTTCCACTAGGAACCCAAGGGAACAATAATAATATAATAATAATAATTATAATGGTCAATTAGAGATCACTTGTACGTCTTTTTGTTTCAGAATTTTAAGACTATTAGTCACTTCAAGCTATGGAATTATTCAAATGCTGGATTATTCTATTCAAAGTTGAATCATAGCAATTATAATAATAGGTGTAATTTATTATTAAATTTTGGCGTAGTTCATCACTAGAAAGTAAAGTCTTGCAAACTATATCATTGCGATACTTTAGACTAATCTGATTTTCACGGGCAACCTAACGTGAAGCTGTAACAGTATTGAGATGTAGCAACAGCTGAAATCTATAATATATATTGAATTATCTTTTTAATGAGAGGGAAGACTAGAAAGGTTTTCAATACAAATAATATACTCTCCTTTCCTTCACGGGTTACTGATGTTTCACGTAAAATGTGTCTTAACTAACAAAGGTAAACCCAAGTGAGTAATCTCCGGAAAAAGGCAGTCTACAGGCAGGCTAAAACAACTGGCTTTTGACTTTTGAGATATTTTATTACTGTAATAGCCTGAAAGTATCGTTTTTTGGATTTCTTTATTTTTAAGGTAGTTTCAAGAATTATTTTTGCATGTTTTATGCATAACGGGTATTTGATAGAAGGTGTGGAACAATGTTTGATTTTCTCTTGAAGCTTGTCATTTCCTTTTATGAAGTAGTTTCTATGTAGTAGTTTACATTTGTTTGGAAACATTTTATTTTTGAAGTATTTTACAATTCATAGGAATTGATTACTGAAATATAAAACGCAATAAGAAAAGCTTACTTCTTTCGAAACTGTGCTGTCTGAACTTGTGGAAGTTATTTGACGTTGTGCGCATACAAACTCATTTATTCTTTGCATTCGACGTAGATCTAGTTGAAATAGAAGACGACATCAATGTGTAATAGTAGGTGTATATTTAAATTTAATAAATGGAACGTTATCGAAAAATCAATTGAAATGATAGTCCACAAAAATATGTCAGCAACGAAAATGATAAGATCAAGAAGCATAACATTCAGGGAAATAACTCGCTTTAGCTGCTCATTAATTACCTACCCACGGCATGCGCAAGATTCTCTATCGATTTTCCTGCTAAACTATCTACCTTGGGGAGATGTGGCTAAAATGTATGGATGTCAATCCAATATTTATTAGCTAGATTGACTGAGACATGCGCCGCAGCGTATTACTCACATATTGCACCAAGTAAATAGTTTGAATTGTTTTTTTGTTCAAGTTTTTGAGAGAGAAAGTAACTCTTTTTTGATATTTACAGAGAAGCCACTTACAAGGTGGTGCCAAACATTAAAAAGGTACATAAAATGCAAAGTGAACTAAAAAATTTGACATTTTTATCAAAAAACACGTTAATGGTGTATGACAAGATAAGGAAAACTAAAATAAAGGCTAATCCAGGTTGTTTACAAGAATGAAAATGACAAGAGATTTTGTTATATCATTCTAGATACTTCGTTTCCTTCTAAAAACAGAATCTTCTTATTTTATTCCTTTCAAAGTGTAATAAAAACTGTTTCATTTTTTCCAAGATTTCACATCCCACAATCTGATTTCCAGTTGTTATTGATGTTCTTCAAACCCAAATGAGAAAATTAAAAGTCTTCGCAGCTTAGTGATTCAACTATTTCTTCTTTCAAATGTCATAACCTATTTACGTTTATTCCGAATTAATTTAAACACATAAAAATGGTTTACGACCAAAAAAAATGAAAAGGTGTATCTGTGATCACAATGCAAATAAAGTTTAACAAATACCGAAATATTTTTGAGGAATCATTTTAAAAGAATTTATAACAAGCTGTCAAACTACCAATATTAGTAAAATTAACGAAAAAAGGAAAAATGAACTTCGGACAATGCAACAAAAGTTGCTCTTTTGAAAAGTGGAAATTCACTTATTTGTCATACACAATTTAGTAACACAAAAACAGGATATGTCGACTATAATACATAGCGAGTACATATGTCTTGAAATGAATGATAAATACAGTGCAGAAAATCCTTTTTCTCCTTCATTAAGATATTGAAAGCATTTATTGTCAGGTAGATTTCGTCTTGAACAGGAAACGGTAACAGATCCACTGAAAACTAGACAGTACCGGATACTACTTTCAAATTATTTAGAACCATTCAGTATCAAACATGCACAATCCTACTGTAGATTTATCTATGGGCAGTTGTACTTCAAAGGTGAGGGCGTTTCCACCCACCAATTCAGAATTCATTGGTAAAATTTCTAACAACTCATGAAAATGTGCCAACAGCATCGAATATTATCAGTAAATAATCGTTCTCCTAGGAAATTTACATGACTTGATGTTTTAATAATTCTTAAGAAACTTTCAATAAATTTGCCTTGAGACTGTTGATCAATGAGGAATATATTGCTATATGGATAGAGGATTTCCTTGATCGCAATGTGGGTTTTAATCCCTAAATGATGCCGGTCGTTAACTCCACCATATAGAATGTGATGCCAATAACTCATCAATGACACCAGGTGGCAATGGGACTGTACCGCGAACTGACATAAGTAAAGATTCTTAAGTTATTCGATAACATTTGAACGGATGAATGGTGACTTAATAGTCCTGAGACTGATTCCTGATGAGTCTTAAACAGGATGAAATTGTTGTTAAGATTTCACTGTTTTTCGGTCTCCAACTCACGTTGGTTCGTGTCGGAAGCTGCTTCTATATGAATCGATTGTCTACAAAACGAAATCTGTAACGCGTTCTCATTTTTAATGACTTGTAAAATTATTAGTGTAAAATGTTCAGTGCAATTAAATTAATGTCAGAATCTTAGGATATTATTAGCATAACAAGCGGCTATTTTTAACGGCAAAGTCGGTTTTAATTGTGATACGATTGAGTACAACGCATATGATACTGTTGTGGCATAAGCTACTGGACAAGATTTATCAGTAGTATATGAAGCGACGTTTATTGGCATAAAAATATCAAATGGCGAAGAGATAGATTTGACGTCAAAGAGAGGAAATGAACCAACGTTGAGTCAAAATATGGGAGGCACGAAATGAAGACAAAGAAACATAATACGAAGGGCAAAATTAGCACAAAACGGAAGATCTGTGTAAATGACGATTTTCAGATAAGGTGTACTTAATTTCGCTACATAGAGATACCAAATTCCAAGTAAACACTCCTTTACCAAGTCTCTTGTGCTTTATCGTTAACACTGTTACTTCGAGTCAGTGTAACTAAGTGTGAAAGATTTTAATAAGGATTATATACCTCTAATTTTACCTAATCTAAAATAACTATATTGTGCAGATTAAAACCAACCTAAACATTTAGGTGTTGAGGCAAAAGATTCAGCTAAATGTTACTGGAGAGCCACATATGTTTGACCTTATACTTCCAATCAAATAAGTTACATTGGTATTGTATATACGATGCACTTTTGTCTAATAAAGTTCATTGTTTTCACTGTCCACTTATTTTTTCTGATTTTTCCGTTGGCTCAGGGAAGCAGAAAATATCCGGGGAAAAAGTGGTATTCATTAGAGTTGTCTGTTGCATTTCAGTATCTGATCTGAGTACTAGTAAAATTCACAGATAAACCAAATTTTGGCGACGTGTTACCGACCATATCAATAATGATATTCTTCTTTTTGCATAAAGTATCTATAAATGCAATATAAACGTTTCATATTCTTTAAAACTTTCAATCTGGAAATAGTGACATCTTTTTTGTCCAGAAAGTCAAAATTAGTTCTTTTAAATATAAACCTGATTTTGGAATTTTATCAGTTATAACGACCCTACTTACTTCAAAGAAATGGTTTCAGACTTCAGTGCTCAACAATGGTAGCGACCAGTAGGCATCAAATTTAGACCCACAACGTTTATGTTGTAAAAAACACGTATTATTATGTAATTAAACAACAAAACTAACCCTCTTGACGTTGGTTATCTTGATTAATTCGATTGCATTTTGTAGAATCCCATAGACGTTCACTGAATGTAGACGATAATAGATTTGTAGAATGTACTAATGGTGTTATACAGCTTTCTTTGTTACTATCCTTTTCTTCTACTTTTGATTTTATAAAAGCCTGCTCTGACTGATTAGCAGATAATGTTTCATATGTTGACTTTAAGGACTGATTATTAATAGTCAATCGAATAGGCTATATTTGTAAGTGAATAGAGTGGATAAACCAGCTTTAGAGTAAAGTATTAGATGACAATGAGAGGAAAACAGTAACACACAGCAACCGGGCATTACTCTGGTGATTGCAGTGAAATGATAACCTGGTTGGTTCTAGTAGCTAAACTAGGACAACGCCGGACTGGTTCTTTTGAGGCTGCCCGTCCAAATCGTATCGCTACTCGTAGTTTCATTTTGCTTTCAATCGTCACCCACTACACCAGTAGCAGTCTGACAACTCAAGACTCTTAGTCTCACGATCAATAGTAGAACTCATAATGGGTGTGAATTAATCTCATTGTTTAATACGTCACATATCTAACTTATCATAAATTTACGCCATACATCGTGAATTCAACTTATACTACGATGCTACAGCAATTATGTATCAAATTCACCTACAAATTCATTTACAGACCTATTATAAACACAGAAGAACTGGGAACTAATTAAAAACTCAATGGATTCTTTGATGCTAAAACATTAGAAATCAAATCAAGGATCTTTTATACATGAAATCCCCTTCTTGAATTTGAACAAAGCGATAATAACGCATGGGGTAGGACGAAACGGATCCATTTTTTCGCAACTGCACACAACCTGAATAACAAAAATTATAATTTTGTGACAGTTAAAGCATTATTTTACAAGTAGACAGTGCCACGGTCCAGTGACAAAATTTAAGTGGGGCTGCGTTTCACAGAAAAATGTCTACGACATAAATATCCGCAGAGATTTACCGACATATTTGGGAATATTGAAAACAAAAAAATACCGCAGTGAATAAGAAGTCTGTATTCATCCATCTAAGATTTAAGAGTGACGATAATGCGGAGGTAACCAACAGATGACTTAAGAAATCACTGGCTAGATTCCCTGCAGCTAGCCTGACTCCTAGGTGCCAAACAGCATGTTCGTTAGTTCAGTCAAGTCGACAGATTCCCTTCATTTGTTAGCTTCAACTAGTATATAAATTTCCGTGTAGCTGTCGAAGTAGATACGTCCGAAGATAAGAAGGAAGGGCCTATCTTTGGTTTTCTGAACACACACCAAAAAGTCTGAGGACAAAAGGAAATAAAGCTTTGAGGGGAGCAGCCACGAGACATCTGATTGACACTGGACATCAGGTAGATACATCTGGGATTCCTTCAAAATATTTGGCATGAAATCCCAGGCCCCTTGAAGTTTCCAGAGGACAGTGCTATCGAATGGTTAAAATGTGACATATATTCAAAAGGAAGACGTAGTTAACCTTGCTCTATTGTGATAACTCGCCTTATAACCTTAACTGATTATGTTCTCTTTTCTTAAATATGTAAATAGTAAGTTTTCACTCTTGCTTAGTTACACCCACACTTATTAAATGCCATGCTTGTGACGTATATCTACCCAAATGAACTTAACTCACAATACATTAATATCTTATTTGTTTATTAGCAATTTTCTGATGACTTCGTCTTATAAATTACATAGGTCAATTTGATAACCCTGTTTCCCACTTTGTGTTTTATTCGAGGAAATTCATTCATATTACATATGTAAGCACAGGAGTAATTCTATATTTTACTAACTTGACATTTCGATTCATCTACGAAACATGGTAGCGCGCGCTTTTCGAAAACTGCGCCACATTTGCTTAAATAACATAAAACTCTGATTTTTGTGGAATATCTTATCAAAAAGTTGCGAAAAACTTTTACAATTATTTGACTTTGAAACACTGAATCTCTGGATATAATATTGTATATCAATAACACCTCTAACTACCTATTGCCACTCTGTGCTTGATTAACACTAACTAATACCTATAATTGTATATATATTGATGGATTTACATGTTCAAGTTGGCTCAAGTCAGTGAGTCTATGATTTTGGTATCATTTTGGTTAACTGCAATTGACTGCGATATTAGTATTGTTGTTGTCGCTTGTTACCCTTCTTGTTGTGAATTATTTTCCCGTGCTGGTGTTTTTCTGCTTGTTTATTCCCTGTTTTCCTGGTTTTTAAGGGGAGCAACCCACAAGGTCGCTTCTCTCTAAATCATAAATTGATGTAACAATCCCCCTTCACAGGCGTGAGGCTAGCAACCCCAAACTGCAAACAAACCTGCTACAGAAACTTCAGCACGATGCATCTCCTTGCGCCAAAAGAAAAAGTATGTGTGGGGACATCGAATGTCCGCACCATGTACGAGATTGGCAAAGCTGCCCAGGTCGCAAACGAAATGAAAAGATACGGAATTCAAGTATTGGGGATATGTGAAAGCAGATGGAACGGGAATTGACCCACCAAATTGTCAACAGGTGAGTCAGTGATCTATTCCGGTCACCCAGAGGATAAACACATGCACACCGAGGGCGTGGCTATCATGATGTCACCAACGGCAACGAAGGCCCTCATGCAATGGGAGGCGATCTCGCCCAGGATAATAACCGCCAGATTCAACTCCAAAGGAAGGAAAAGGTCAATTATACAATGCTATGCACCGACCAACAACGCAGACCCCGAAACGAAAGAAGAATTCTACAGACAACTGCAGACAACAATGGACAATACTCCAGCTGGTGACATCAAAATACTAATGGGAGACATGAACGCCAAACTGGGATCAGATAACACAGGAAGGGAACTCATCATGGGTAGAGAAGCTCTGGGAGAAATGAATGAAAACGGAGAACTCTTCGCCGACTTCTGCGCCTTCAATGAACTAGTGTTTGGTGGCAGCGTATACAAACACAAGGATATCCACAAGGCTACATGGGTGTCACCAGATGGGCGAACCAAAAACCAAATCGACTTCATCTCAATCTCAAGGAAGTGGAGGCGCAGCCTGCTGGACACGAAAGTAAGAGGAGGAGCAGACATTGGCTCAGACCACTATCTCGTACAAGGGACAATCCAAATCAAATTAAAGCTTTCAGAGAATCAGGAGCTGCAGATAGACCACAAGCCAAGTTCAACACTCAAAAACTGAAGGACCAGGACACAAAGGACATCTTCACTGCAAGTATAAAGGACAAAGCCGAGACACAAATCAACACTGGCGAAGAGGTCAGCGTCGAAAAGCACTGGAACAACTTGAAGACAGTGTGGAGTCAAACCTGCATGGAAGTTCCAGGCAGAAAGAAGAGACAGGACAAACAATGGCTCACTACGGACACTTGGAAACTAATAGAAGAGAGACGGATGGTGAAACAAAAGATTCTCCAGTGCACCGATGAGCAACAAAAACAGGATTTGAACGCAAGCTACAAGACACTGAACAAAAGAGTAAAGAAGAGTGCCAGAGAAGACTAAAGAAAGTACTATGAAACCATGGCAAGTGAGGCAGAACAAGCTGCAGGCAAAGGAGACCTCACAACACTCTACCAAACTACTAGGTACCTATCGGGCAAACGTTTGACACAAATCAAGCCGGTGAAGGATGACAATGGAAAGTCACTCACCAAAGAAGTGGAGCAAAGGAAACACTGGGCTGAACACTTCAAAAGACTCCTAAATTGACCACCACCTACAACGCGCTTAGCAATACCAACAACGGAGACAGAGCTACCAGTGAACACCAACCCCCCGACGAAATCAGAAGTCCTGAAGGCATTCAAGATGCTGAAAGCTGGAAAAGCATCAGGACCAGATGGAATCCCAGCAGAAGCGTTGAAAATGGACCCAGAGACAACAGCGGACATGATGACGCCACTACTGGAGAAGGTGTGGAAAGAAGGCAAAGTACCCGAGGATTGGAAGAAAGGATACTTATTCAAACTACCAAAGAAAGGAGACTTAAGTCAATGCAAGAACTGGCGCGGAATTATGCTCCTGTCCATCCCAAGCAAAATACTAAGCCGCATCATCCTGGAGAGAATCAAACATGCCCTGGATGAAGAACTTCGACCGGAACAGGCTGGATTCAGGAGAAACAAGTCATGCATTGATCAGATCGCCACATTACGGATCATCATTGAACAAAGCTTAGAGTGGCAGTCACCTCTCTATCTCAACTTCATCGACTTTGAAAAGGACTTTGACAGCGTCGATCGAGAGGTGATTTGGAAACTACTTCGCTACCACGGGGTGCCACCGACAATTATACATCTCATCCAACAGCTATACGACAATGCTGCATGCCAAGTAATCCACAATGGGAAACTTACGGAACCCTTCGAAGTGAGGACAGGAGTAAGACAAGGCTGCCTACTATCGCCAATGATTTTCCTGACTGCAGTAGATTGGATAATGCGACAAACAGTGGGCAATGAGGAAACAGGAATAAAATGGACACACACAAAATACTTGGAGGATCTGGACTTCGCCGATGATATATGTCTGATTTCCCACAAACTGGAAGATATGCAAGCGAAAAGCAACAAGTTGGCAGAAGAAGCAACAAAGATAGGACTTCAGGTGAACATAGAGAAGACAGAGGTGATGAAAATTCCCGGACAACATCACCAACAGCAACAACAACAACCGACAACGATCAGCATAAATGGGAGGAACGTGAAAGAAACAACCTCTTTTACCTACCTGGGAAGCATCGTTTCAACTACAGGCGGAACTGATGAGGATATCAAAGCAAGGATCGGAAAAGCAAGACAAGCTTTCACTACTCTCAAGTCTGTGTGGAGGTCAACAACACTCAGCATCAAAAATAAGATCCGGATTTTCAACTACAATGTGAAGTCAGTGCTACTATACGGATCGGAGACTTGGCGCGTCATAAAGACCATCTCAAACAAACTACAGACCTTCATTAACAGTTGTCTTCGCTCAATACTCAAGATCAGATGACAGGCCAGAAAAGATCAGCAACAGGGATCTCTGGGAGCGAACCAACCAGGAACCGATTGTGAAACAAATAGGCAGGAAGAAATGGAGATGGATTGGCCATACTCTTAGGAAACCATCAAGTGACATCACTAGACAAGCCCTCGAGTGGAACCCGAAAGGGAAGAGGCGAGTTGGTCGTCAGGCAAGGGTGACTTGGAGGAGGTCATGTGAAGAGGAGATGAAAACGTGTGGGCAAACTTGGAGCCAGGTGAAGACTCTAGCAGAGAACAGAACGCAATGGAGACGCACGGCTGAAGCCCTATGTTCCTGTAGGAATTAAAGGATACAATAATAATAAATATAATAATAATCACATTTATTTGTCTAAAAAAAATTTGTTCGTTGAGAGTGTAAATTTAATCTAGATAACGAAATGCATCAAATAAACAGATGTTTATATATGAAATCTACCATTTGTATGTACACTACTTCCAGCAGTCAGCATCATATCACAATTTTATTTTTCTCCATGCAATTTATGATGTAAAGTAGGACATTTTATCTAATCTGAATATTCTGGATTTCCTAAAGGAATTAATCATGACAACTGCCTTGATATGTGTAACTGGAGAATGGCCAGTTTAATTTTATTGCTGACTTTATTTATTTAAACTTAATTATCAATATCACGTACTGAAAACTAAATTCTCATTTTTTACAGTAAAAAGAAAACTGCAAACACATTAAATACACAGATTGGAAAGAAATTCTTTATGAACACTCGAATATACGGGCAATTCCAATGATGCTAGACAGAAAGATGTATAATGAAGAAAGATGGAACATTCGCTCATTCTTTTTACTCATTTCATCGACCTGTGTTACAAGTAGATTCAAACTTTATAAAATTGCTTCTATGCATTAATTTCTATTTGATTAGTTAACGGTAACTTGGAAATTTATACAGTAATAATATTTAAAAAGCTCCACGATTTATGATGGTTTATTCCACACATTATACGAAATTTACAACACTCAAGCAGTCAGAAACATGGATCAAAGTTTGCTTCCATTAGAGTCAAAACATTTCAAACCGGGAACTAAACACAATTCCGTGTCTCTCTTGTATTAAAACGAAACCAAGTAAGCAATGTTAGACAATCATTTTGTGACAGCAATGACATCTTTTCATTAACCAATCCATCAGCTTAACAAGAGTTCCCACATCTGTGAAGTAGTGCATATGCACAACCACTTAAATGAATAACCGTAAGCTCGAAGTACTTTGTATGTTATCAGTATCATTGACCAAGTGGACTACATTGCTCATATACTCAAAAAACTGGTTATTTTAGGGGTGACAATTGAACTCTTCAGGCATGACATTTAAACGAACTCGGCTCCATTATCACATTTATAATGTAAAAGAAATAATGACATTGGGTGACACTGATCGTCATCACTTCAGACTTCAGAGATTGTGTCTGATAAATTGGTCAACAACCTCAAATTGAGATTAAACAGGAGTCAAGCATCCAATTGGTTCCTGATGGTTGTTTCATTGGCATTAATCTCTAACGAATAAAATGAATTACCATCATCAACTTAATGAATAAAAATTAATAAAATCTATTATCAGAGGTACTGGTTAGGTGGTTGAATGCTCGCCAACCATGCACGTGGTCCCGGTTCCATTACCAACCAATGCACTCCTAAACCTCATTTGACCGGTAATAAGCCAGGTAAAGAGGGAAGGATGCAGTAGGGCTAGCAATACCGCCCTGTAAAATCAATATCACCGCTACTGAAGCTTGAAACCTCATGTCTGAAGCTCTATGTTCCATTTGAAACTCAAACGAATTAAAAAAAAGATAAAAGAATATATAATTAACAAATTACTTACACCAAGTACGCTTGTTTTATCTTCATTCAGTTGTTTATCTAAGCAAGTTAATAGAGTAAATACTGGAGCTGTATGAATAATATCCTTATTAAAGATAATTTGATTGAAGTCAACTGAATGATAGGAATAACCTCCAACAGTCATCAGACCAGGTGCACTAAAAATTTTAATAATGATAATAATCAGAGAGAATACTGGGTAGACATTTGATTACAATTCATTGGTTATTGGATGTCAACTTCTATTTTTCCTGGGTACGACCTTCGGTAAGGAGTCCCATACAAGGATGAAACAGCTGTCCAGTATTCACTAGTTTCCACTATTTTATCAAGCAACGTTGGTCCATTATGGAACTCACTTTCAAATAGTAGACTAATTCAGATTTATAAGGTTCTTATCGGAGATAAGAATGATATGTCGACGAGATAAGTATACAAGTTAATTCAACCGTTATCTATAATGTCTTGTTCCTAGTATTTTTCTCACATTAGAATCTTGCTTCTGAATACTTCACAGCATATATGAATAGCCTTATAAATAAAGCTAGTGGTGTGAATTATTGGTTAGAACAATCAACCTGCAACCAATGAATCTCTGGTTCAACTTCTACCCTACTACTTTTAGCTTAGTCAGCTTGTGAATAACAAGTTCTCAGATCAATTGTGTGTATGTGGATATAACCTAGCACACGTGAGCTTTGTCATCTCACAAGATTTATCAATATTACGACAATAAAAATTATCAACAGGATTTGCAAAGTTTAACAACAGAAAACATATTATACTAACTTATGTGGATTGAATGAACGCTTTGATGCCCATGATATAATCATTTCACGATGTTGAATACATAATTTTGTTACAGGATCTGAAGATTCTTCGTCCAAAATATGTTCATTCCTATGACAGCCCTTACAAATAATTAGTCAACGTAGAAAATATATTAAGATTTTACTGTATAGTTGGAAAGGCAACTAAAAATCCATTTATGCATTTAAAATAGATTTCATCATGAACTGATAACACGTTGAAGAATCCTATGAAACTATGGAGTAAGAGACAGATATTTTATTCATCTCTGAGTTTCTCCAAACAACACCCTCTGGTTATGCTGAGAAGGATAACGCCTAAAATCACCAGATAACAAAACAACTACTTAGTTATTATCTAATAGTCTATCATTTCCAGCTTCTGATAATTTGTTATTTGTCAGTAATTATAGCTATGATGACATTTTGGTAATATTCAAATTGTGCTTAATGAGATTTAAACATGGTGTTCATTTAATAATTATACAACTAATTTAATTATTAATTTTTTTCTTGACGAAGTAAATTAAAACTAAACTATGCTAATATTAGTTTACAAGAACTTTGATTAAGATGTGACGGGATGGTTCCACAATAATTGGGCGCCCAGTCATAAGTAGACATGTATATTTATGTAAATCACCCCAATTTCGCTGAGATTTATACAAATTTAATTTTTGCATATGCTAATATTAACTTTCTGACCGAACAATGTATGAACGGTAGTTAAAAATAGTAGTAATAAAACATTCAGAACATGTGAATAATTTATACAAAAAATAAGGACACTACAAAGAAAATCCAAAGGTGAGTTGTTGTTTATTGGTTTTAGAAATTCTGAACAGGAAAATGAATAATAGTTTAAAAACTCGCATTCAGAAATCGAGGAAAAAGCAAAGAAAGTAGCAAAGCGGGGTGAAAATAATTACGGAAATCAAGACCGGTTAATTTTCAGACCCTAACAACAACTTACTAGGTAATCCATGATTAAAAAGAATGGGTGAATGAAATTGTTAAAATTTAGGTAAGAAATTCAAGGTAAGTTACATATGCTCCATGAGCCAAACTTTTACATACAGCAAAAGTAGTAGGAATTCAGATGAAGTCAAATGTGTCTATTCAAAAGAAATTCGTGTAGCCCCTTCCTTTATTGTGGCTGTCCATATATTACGTAGAGTTTTACAAATCGGCTTTCCCCCTATCCTTGTAACCAACAGCTGACAATGTTATTATTATTACTGATTCCGTTAATTCAACTCATGTATTAATATCCTGATTTTCTTGCCTAATTATTAACAAATTTAATTGCCCATTTTATCTTAATAATTATCTTTAACCTACAAATTGTCGATTACGTGATAACCTGTTGCTAATCTAGAAATTAACCGATCTTGATTTTCATAAGTGTTTTCCTCCTTCATGTTTCCCATTGACTAACATACCACAATTTGATAGGGTAAAATTTTGAAGTATTATTTTAGTACAACTACATATATATACAAATATATGTATATATAAAGGCATTTTTATTTTCTCTAGACGGGAAGAGATATAAATAATTTTAAAATTTAAACAAACATCATAAGAAATTATATAATACGACAGAATTAAACAAGATAATCACAACAAATTTACAGTTTGAATTGGAAAGAGATTGAATCTTGACAAACCAAATCCACAGCATGGATGAATTAGACCAGGTTTCATTTGACTATATAAATAAATAGATATATAAATACATCAAGTTCAATCAGTAAAGAATAACTAAAATAAATATATAATTATGTTGCTTAGATAAATAAGTATTTTACTGAGTAAGAGATAAGTATTCATGTAATCAGTGATTATTGAACGTAAGGTCAAAAATTCGGTCACCACGAGATTCGAATCAAATTTTCATTTCAGCTTCAATCGTTACCCATTAAATGAATAGCAGTCTCCCGACTCGAAGCTATCGAAGATAGTTTCATCATCAAAAGTATTCATAAAAGAAACTGATTAAAGAGATACATTCATTTTCGATTAGTTCCTCATCAACAGGTTTACACCCATGTGTATAGTCTTACAGCAAAATAATACTATTTCTTCTGATGTTAGTCAATAAGAATGATCAATTTTATGGTATAGAATGTGTGCATTTACCATTTTAACTGCTACCATGCAGGTATTTACATTGGGTGTACAATTAGGTAAGCTCATCTTCGCATTTCTGAATACCACCCATCTTAGTTAGGCGAAGGAAAAAATAAAGCCATATGTAGCTCAATACTAGCTCGAATGAGTTGATGCAAGACATCAAGTCGACACTAAAAGAACTTTTCAAGTTATTAATGGTATTTCAACTAAATTTTCTCATGCTGTACGATTACGACACTTAAATACAAAAGATGAAATCGGAATTCATCTGAACAAGTCAAATCTGCTTTCCCATAATAAATTCATACGACTTCTCCCTTTGTCATGGTCGTCCACACAATATGCATAAAGTCTTACACATGATTCTTCTATATCCTTGTAACGATCATTTGACACTGATATTTTTTAAAATTTTATCATGATTACTATTCCAGCAAAACTGATTGACTGATTTTTATCTCAGTATTTCGGCGAAATCCATTCATCTATTCATCTGAGTCATCTCCAATTTACAAATTTTTAGCATGTAACAGTCCGTTGCCAACCTCTACAAATTAACTGATCTTGAATTCCATAATTACTTTCAATCCCTCTATATCTTAAAACTGATAGTTTTTATTGACTAACAACTACCACATGATTGTATATATATATATATATATATCACATCTAAACCAACTATGTAATAACAAATCATCAGTCAAGAATACTTCTTCTGGAGCGAATTAAACTTGATGTGTTGATAGTGACAAAAATTTGGATAAGGATTGCATATTTAGTATTCTGATGAGCTTATGGATTAAGTATACGAAATATATTATTGGGAATTACCTTTCAATTGACAACTACACTTTAAAACACTATTTAATACGTATCAACATTAAAATAAGACGTTTGTTTAAAATGTTGAAAGTGTTAAATTTGCAGTTCTTTCCAGTGAGAGGTTCAGAGTAGTATCACCAAATAGTACAACATAAAAAACATTTCTGTCTAGATAGTTGTGCTAAGGCGATCCGCAGTATATTAACAACAATGCACACTGTATATCAACCTCGCCAAGTTTACTAGTCCGTCCCAAGACCCGGAAAATGGAGAAGGTTAGGCTTGGAGCTACCGACTGTACATTGGAAAATCGACCCAATCGGTAAAGCAACGTACAACAAAAATATAAAAAAACTCATTCTCCACTGCAATCGGAGAGACGAAGTGACGCAGGCTGGTGAAAGTACATTTGTCTTATTTTGATGGAAGCGAAAGTAAGAATGGAGACTTGGAACGTTCGCTCAATGAACGAAGCTGGGAACGTTCTTCATGCAGCCAACTAGGTCAGAAAATGTGGCATAAAAGCGCTAGGAATCCGCGATAGCAGGTGGAATGGATGTGGATTATCCAAATTGTCAACTGGAGAGTCAGTAATCTACTCCGGTCACCTACGCAGACGACAACCACGAACACACTGAGGGACTGTTATCATGATGTCACCAGTGGGAATCAACCTCCTCCAAGACTATGACAGTAAGATTCAACTCAACAGGAAGGAAGGTGTCAACCATCCAATGCTACGCAACTACAAACAACTCGGAACAAGAGAAGAAGGAAGATTTCTATGGACAACTACTACTAACAGTAAAGGACAACATCCTGAAATGGAGACATCCAAATACTTATGGGTGATATAGATACAAGCCAAAACGGGAACAGATAATACAGGAAGAGAACTATTCGCAGACTTCTGCAATTTCAATGATTTCGTGATCCGAGGCAGCGTGTACAAAAGCAAGGATATACGCAAGGCAACATGGATATCGCCTGATGGACACACCAAAATCCACGTGGACTTCATTTCAATGCTGTTCAAGAAATGGAGATGCAGTCTGCTGGACACAAAGTTGAGAAGGGGAGTGGATATGAGCTCAGACCAAGGTCAGGCTAAAAACCTTTATCAAACACCTGGCTATATGACAGTGGCACGTGTCAAGTGATCCACAACGGAAAACTCACTCAGCGAAGACTTTGAATTGAATGCAGAAGTAAAACAAGCTGGCCGCCTATTATCACCAATCATATTCCTAATTGTGGTGGATTGGACCATGCGTCACACTCTGCGTGGAGAGTGAGAAGATAGCAATACACTGGACGACCAATGAGAAGACTCTAGAAGATCTGCATTTCGCGGACAATTTATGCCTAACATTACACAGAATTGATGACCAACAAACTACCTGAAGTAGCACCAAAGACACAGCTGCAGGTGAACATAGAGAAGACGGAGGTGATGAAGATAACCAATGAACCGCAAAAACAACAACAACCAGCACGAATCACTATCAAGGGAACAAATTCAGAACATCGTTTCAACTATAGGCGGAACATATGAAGATGTCAAAACCAGAATCGGAAAGTCAGGATACCCCTCCATCAATCTGAAATCAGTTTAGAACTCTTCTGCATTCAGCACAAACAGCGAAATCCGGATTTTCAACACAAATGTCACGTGAGTCAGTTCTTCTATATGGGTCAGAATCTTGACGCGCGCGTCACGATAAGCACTTCCAACAGGCTGCAGACGTTTATCAGAAGCTGCGTTCTCTCCACACTGAGGACCGAATGGCCAGAAAGGATTAGCGACAGGAAACTATGGGAAAGAACCTATTGTCCAACAGATATTTAGGAGAAAACGGAGGTGGATAGGGTACATACTGAGGAGACCGTCAAATGACATTGCGCTCCAGGCCATCGCTTGAGTGGGACCCGAATGGGAAACGCCGACTGGGGTGCCACTTCGAGGGTGACACGGAGGAGATCTTTCTAGGGGAGATGAAAGATTATGGGAAATAGTGGGGGCAGCTAAAAACCGCAGAGAATAGGACTAAGTGGAGATGTGCTATCTAAGGTGTATGTTCCACTCGGAACCCAAGGGAACAATAAATAATATTGTACAGTGCTGCATTTTGAAAATAATGACTTTGCTAAATAAACATCAAAGTTACTTATTAATTACTTAGATAAGCTCTCAATGGTATTTGACTGCGTGTACTTTTTGGAAAATCCGCTAGAATCTGAATTTGTCTGATGATTTGGTGTAATGTCTTGTTTAAACGCATTACAATCAGGAGATTGAAATTTATCTGTTGTTCTGGTAAATATTGGTTTCACTGTTTTCGAGTGATTTTCATTAATTAATTGGTCTGATTGCAATGGTATGGGTTCCATGGGATGATAAAAACAACCATCACCTAGTTCAATAATTGGAAATTGTCTTCCGCACCGTTTACATGACTGAAAAAAACAACTGGAAACTATATAATGGTGAATATCCCAAAAATTCATACTACAAAATTAAATGAATTTGGTTTCGAAAATACATGAGAAAATCTCAAGAAAACATTTCAGAGAAATCAGTGATCAACAAATTTTAGACCAGTATTATTTACATATGAACTGTGATCAAGGTATGATCGAATAGTTCAAAAATAATTGGGCGCCGAGTGAATATATATATATTCCCATAATTTATTCTGAACAAAATAGTTAGAATGAACAATAGTTTCCAATAAATTCTTCTTCAGGCTCTACAACTATAAATCCATTAATTTAAGCATGCAACAGCCAGTAGAAGCAAATTAGAGTCATATCAGAAATGTATTGTGGAACAAGTATAAGATGGGATGGAACAATAGTCAGTTTTGAACATGCATGAAATATATATATATATATATATATATATATATTCAACAAAAGTACAGGTTTCGAGGGTGTGTAATCAGTAGTGTGTGAGACAATATGAATACTACAGAAAATAAACCAATGAATGGGGTAGACTAGGCATAAGTCTATAGGTGAAAATAACGACAATATTAAAGATTGTGAAATAACGATGTGGCGAAAGCTTAGAAGTACTGTTGGTGAATGATTATCAAATAATAATAATAATGAATTTAGTGAAGTGAAATGAACAGAATTTTGTAAATATGATAACGAGTTAGAAAGGCATTACTTAAATCTAAGGTAATAGAAATCATATGAGAGGTTATAAAATCGTAAAAGGTCAGAAATGAACGTTGGTCAACGAAACAAAGGATAAGAAGAAAAAGAAAAATTGCGATGGGAATTTAAAACGCTAGTGTTTATGGAGGATTTGTTGCCCTTATCGTAGGCCAAGGTAAACATAGCGGCTGAACATACTTCTTCTGTGAACAAAGGGTCGGTCTTTTGGCATTTATTACTATCGCTTCAGCTACTGATAGAAGACATAATAGAGCTCATCTAGATAGACTATCAGGAACGCGGTAAATAACTGAGAACGCTTGGTCAGGTTTTACCGAGTGTCCAGTATCTACCAAGTGGCTTAAAACTGCACAATTTACGCAATTGGTTTCCCCTTTACTCAACCATAAAGGCATATATTCATGTGAGCGCATGAGTAAGGTTAATGTAACTAGCTCCACGTGAGCAGTTGAATCCATAGATGCACATTGATGAGGCCCTTGACTCGCTGTGCGAGTACTGGTTTAGTTGAGAAGTTGGGTACCAGTTTCGCTGCAGGAAATGTCTTCTCTACTGCTCTATTAAGTAAACATTTTAGCATGTCGGCTGCAATTTCCCCTTTGTAACTCAACTTAAGATACAAAGGTTTCTTATCCACGGTATCCATTGTTACCCTATCTCTAGGTATCGACGTATACTTTTTTTAGGAAGTTCTCTGAATATCCATTTTTTGTAGTTTAAGTTTCAGTTTACACATTTCTTCCTTAATGCATTCCTCTGAACATGTACGTTTTATAATGAATTGATATGACGCTATGAAAATGGCTGTACTGACCCGGGCGTCGGTGGCACAGTGGTTAGGACGCTCGCTGACCAAGAATATGGTCTGGGGTTCGATCCCCTGCCGACGCACACCTGATATCTATGGTCGGCCTGCTACATTTGGGCTACCGATGTCACATGATGAAAATTCCATACCTGTACCGAAAATACGGTGTGGAATCAAGCCGTAATAAAAAAAAGTCTTCTTTCTAAATAGATTCCTTTGTACATATCCGTCTATCTTCATGGTGAGGAAGACTTCTAGAAAGGGTATACTGTTATTTCCTTCTTCCTCACATGTAAACTGAGTAGCTGGGTGAACACTATTAACAACATTCAGAAGATTCCTATCACCAACGATGAAGGCATCATCTACCTATCGACAATAATAGTCAAGGCCCTTAATCGTGTCTTTGAGTGGAACATTTTCAAGCTTTGCCAGGAAAATATCCACTAGCATAGGGTCCGGAGGTGATCCCAGGACAACACTATCAATTTGTCTATAAAAATCATTGTTGGACATAAACTGAACATTCATAGTGCACTTCAATAGTACTTCCTTGACTTTTTCCGATGGGATTCCTACATCCTTCGTCCTGTCAGTTTGTCACATAAGTAGTTGACTGTTTCGAGCGATGGGACGTTGGTGAATCATGTTACATCTAGTAACATCGTTTTTTCACGCTTTACACTCAGGCTTTTGGAAGTTCCTACAAAGCTAAACACGCCTTTTACACTGAATTTCAGTAGTTCACGATGTAAAGGTTCCAATGCCTTTACCAACCACTTGGCTGTAGAATTATAGGGAGATTGACACATATCTAGCATGGTACGTAGTGGTACTCCAGGCTTGTGGACTTCCGGTGAACCATAAAGTCTTGGTGTGTGTGTGTGTGTGTGTGTGTGTGTGTGTGTGTGTACCCGAGGGTTTCAATTCGTCGAGTCTACATTTAAGAATCAGATTACTCTCAACCAGTGATTTTCGTCTTAACCATTTGGCGTTCAACTGCTTCAATTGTGTCTTTACAACTATTCACAGTTGCACTTAGAATGAGATTCATTTCGTCTATATAACCACTCTTATTCATGGTAACTGTACCAGATCCATTGTCAGGTCTAGTTATTATCAGATTTTCGTTCTTCGTGAGGTCACGTAATGCCTCTCAGTGTTTCCTTGTAAGTAGACTGTTGACAGGAGGTTTGTTTTTCTTAAACTGGTAACAGCAATCGATTAGGGTACTTTTAAATCTTCGCAGCTCATACTTGGACGAAGGAATTAGGTTGTTTGTCTTGGCAAACAGGTTTTCAAATTAAACACCAGTCTCTAAATGATTAACCTAATTACGTCTGTCACAGAACTTTAAACCGAGATAAAGCTTCAAGCTGTGTCTTATCTATGTATACACACTATGAAAAGAAAGCTATTGATCACCTTAATGTCGAGCCCTATGAAATCTGCAGAAGTTATAACAACCGTGGAATTGCCTTTATCTCTTCTTGTAATGACAATAGATTTACCTTTGCGTAGTTATTTTAGTGCCAGTTGCTCGCTTTTGCTAGACTGCTTAGTAAAAAGACAACCAGATAGTCAACTTAAACATTTTCAGAAAGCCGACACATTCGGACAGATACCTAGGCTACTATCCAACACATCCCTTTACCACCAAATTAACTGTGGCCAAGAATCTGATTAACAGAGCCAAACGTCTAGTTATTGAGGAAGAGATCAGAAAGGAACTAAAATTGGTTCAGTCCACTCTTGAATCAAATAATTATCCCAAAGCCTTTATAAAAAGATATTTAAAATGTGAAAATAAGGACGAATCAAAACTTGTTGCTAAGACTTGGGTTAGTACAGTGGTGATTCCTTACCGCAAGGAAACATCGGATGAGATAATGCGAATCCCTAACAATTATGACATAAGAGTGTATTTTCGTGCAACTAACAACTTACGCTCATCACTGGTGAAGGCTAAGGATGAAGTGGAAGAAGACAACCAACAGAACTGTGTGTATCAGATCAGTTGTGGGGACTGTGACGATGTATATGTAGGAGAAACCTCCAGACAGGTAAAAAGTGAAGGAGCATAAACAATGTCTAAAAGTGGTTCCAAAGACCTCTGCAGACTTGAAGAAGCGATTGCATTGCATACGATAGAAACGGGGCACAAGATCGACTTTGATGGGATTAAGGTTCTACAGAAAGGTATTAGTTCGTATAAAGAAAGACTGACTGCAGAAGCCCTACACATATTGGTGAATCCCAAAAGTTTGAAAAGACGTGAAGGTGTAATGTTAGTTGATGTATCGGAAGTCCTGATTAATAAGTAAAAATGGATATGTATCACTAATCAATCATACTTGATCTAAATACCCGATTGCCTGTCTCTTTTTATGGAGAAGCTAGCAAATAATTTACAACTGTTTACACATACACACACACCACTGTATACCGCATATACATACATGTTTTTTATATTCAGTTATCTACGACCATGAACTTTAGTCAAACGTTATCACTAAAATTCTGATGCAAAAGTACAGTGTTTACAGTGTTCGACAAAAGTAGACTAATATCTGTAATTCTAAGGTCAAATTATGATCACAATTCATACAATTTTGTTTATTATATTTTGATGCCTGTTTCATGACTCATATGATTGGACAATTTTTTAAAAACAAGAGATATCCCTTTTACATAGTTATTTCAGTTTTGATTAATTTCCCTGAAGAAGTTCGGACCAGTCTGTTGAACGAAATGTTGGAATTACGCATTTCAATTTCACTGAAAGTTTTACAAATATAATTTTTACATATGTCTACTCACTCAGCGCCCAATTATTTTGGAAAGATTCGTTCAAATCTTCATACCAGTTAATATGTAAATAATAGGGGGTCTAAGATTGAACGAACATAATTTTTATTTAGTTTTTATTTTATTTTTATTGTAGCTTCATTATAATAAAGGTTTTGTATTTCATTTATTGGGAAATACAAAAGCCTTTATTATAATGAATATCATGTACCTAATGCCCAAATTTTTTCAAACTGTTAAAAGTGAACTTGGTTTAGACATATATAACTTAATTGTAGGTTGACTCCACAAGGTATAGAATTTTCAGCATGTGATACCGGTAGCCTAAATGTAGCAGGCCGACCATTGATATCAGGTGTGCGTCCCAACCACTATGCCACCGACGCACATATTATTTTGTTTATTTAAAGAAATAATTCGCCAGATAATTTAAGTTGTTAAATGTGAAATTAATCACCAATTTGCGTAATAAATTTCTGCATATTAAATTAACACATTTTTATTAAATCTAGACTTCTAGTTACTCTTCCCACCATTGAGATTTTTTATTGGTAGGAAATAACTGGAATAGATCAAAATTACAACTTAACTCTACTTAAACTCTAATTGTTATTTGATTACTAAACTTTTTGTAATCAATTCGCATCTAAACTTATATGAAATATCGG